GCAGGAGATGTACATTATTATCCACCGGAAGTGAGGAAGATGCAGGTAGGGAGACCTCCAGGAGGAGATAGAATTAGGGTTACGAAGAGACCACCGAATGGGGATTTTTCTCCTAGGGTTATCAACAGCAAAATCGGAACGGAGACGATGGTAGAGAAGAAGACTCATCAACCTTGCAATCTCGTTGAGCCAATGCAGTATCTGTTCGTTAGGATTGTGAAAGCTCGTGGACTAGCACCTAACGAGAGTGCTTACGTTAAGGTACGAACATCGAACCATTTCGTCAGGTCTAAACCGGCCGTTAACCGGCCCGGAGAATCAACAGACTCGCCGGAGTGGAATCAGGTTTTTGCTCTCGGTCATAATAAGTCGGATTCCGCCGCGTCTGGCGCGACTCTAGAGATCTCTGCTTGGGATGCTTCGTCGGAGAGTTTTCTCGGTGGTGTGTGTTTCGATCTCTCAGAGGTTCCGGTTCGTGATCCGCCGGATAGTCCGCTTGCTCCTCAGTGGTACAGGCTTGAAGGATCAGCAGCGGATCAGAACTCCGGGAGAGTTTCCGGCGATATTCAGCTCTCTGTTTGGATTGGTACTCAAGTAGATGAAGCTTTCCCTGAGGCGTGGAGCTCGGATGCTCCGCATGTGGCTCACACGCGGTCGAAGGTATACCAATCTCCAAAGCTATGGTACTTGAGAGTGACGGTTCTCGAGGCACAGGATCTCCACATTGCTCCGAACCTTCCGCCATTGACGGCTCCTGAGATCCGTGTCAAAGCACAATTAGGGTTTCAGTCAGCTCGTACAAGACGAGGTTCAATGAATAACCACAGTGGGTCGTTTCACTGGCACGAGGATATGGTCTTCGTCGCCGGAGAGCCATTGGAAGACTGCTTGATTCTGATGGTAGAAGACCGGACAACTAAAGAAGCAACGCTTTTAGGACACGCTATGATCCCAGTGAGCTCCATTGAGCAGCGAATTGATGAGCGCTTTGTGCCGTCGAAATGGCACTCTTTGGA